CCGCGCGGTACGTTGCCGGCTGCTACCCGGGGTGACGATAGACCTATGTCTCAGACGAGTTGCTACTCTGGAGGGCGGGTATATGATTACCATAGCCGCGCCGTGAACTCTGGAGGCTCCGCTGAAATGCTGCGGCCTTTGCCACGCCCCCTCACTTACCTATGTGATCTCGCGTATTACTGATTACTCTCTTAAGTACTCAGTACAGTTGCTCGGTGCAGTCCGCAGCTGCAGTGCAGTTAGCATGCATGCTCAGGTGCCACGCCGTGCAGACTCTGCAGTGCGTAGCAGCCGACCTAATCGCATCAGTGCAGTGCAGCTGCTCAGGTGACAGCATGCAGCTGCAGTGCTCAGTGCGAGTGCAGTGCAGATTGCAGTCGTGCACGGCCCTGTCAGCTCGCAGCTTGCTAGTGACAGTGCTAGCATGCGACTGACACTCTCTGCCAGTGCGCAGATGCACAGGTGCTCGTGCAGACTGCAGTGAGGTGGCCACGTTCCTCGTCGCTCGCGAGGCTTGCAGTGCTTCCCGTGACGTGCAGTGCAGCTTGCACTCGCCCAGATGCAGTCCTCGCTGGATAGCTATGCTCGCGTTAGGACCGTTAGTCGACCGCTCACAGTGTGCTCGCTCGCTTTGCAGGTCTACGTCTTGCTTCGATTACTCGTATCTGTACTTACGTCTCTTCAGCTTTCTCTCTTTCCATGTACACTCGCTCTGTCTTCACACGTCATACCTCTGCTCAGATCTCTCCTCCTTATGGCTTCTTCGTTCCTATATCGTGCCTGGCATCTCTCTCGCATATCTCCGCCTTCAGCGTACACACAAGGCGCATCTATTCCCACGTGCAGTAACGCAGTATATCGTAGTGCTTCATCGTCTAAGCTGACTCGCTGTGCTCTATCGATACGCTCTCAGCGCTTCGTGTCCATACAACCAATTCTGTCTAAAATACAAGCCAAGACAGCTCAATTATATGATTCGGTCGTGTGTACGCGGCGCTGCATACTATTACTGACGTCATTAATTAGCTCTACTGGAGCTCATAGGATGCGCTATGTTCGCCCAGGGTATGCCGGACGCTACCCTAGGGTACGCTCGTACGCGGCTCCTCTGGGTATACCGGAACGTACCCTCGGTCACTATTGGAGTATGGTTAGCGTTAGGATTAGTGGTTCGGTCGTCTCCGGCCAGTCGGGGGGTGTCGGCTTAGGGAGTTCAGGACGTAGGCGACTCCCCTAAGACTCTCGTTTAGTGAGTGAGCGCGAGGTAACGGTGTCGGGCATATTAGAGTCAGTACTCAGAGTGACGTTCGGCGTCATACCGAGCACCGTACCCAGGGTACGTTCCGAGTACCCACGGTGGGCGAAATAGATCCTCTGCAGCCCTCACTGACAATGACATGTCCATGTTCATGAGTACATATGTCAACCATGAACCAGATAATAATAACATTTAAATATGACAAAGCACTATTCTGTCAGTACTATCAATATGTACTACTATAATACAACTATCCGTAGTACTAGTTTAATCTAGTTAGGCTGACTGAGCGCGTTGATCACATTAAAGTGTGCTGTAAGCAACAGTAGCATACGTCACGTCGGCCTATCCATGCCAAGGAGCATGCCACCGAGCGGTCGCGAATCCGAAATAAAATTTATGGCTTACGCTTTTCCTATTTTTAATTAAATTTGTGACCAAATACAGTTTGGTGCATCAATTGTAGTTATATTCATATAAGTACAGGTAGAATGGAGTTTTGAATAATTATGTAGCTATGGCATGACTGACGACGAAACGACCAAGGGTTTGAAGTAATTCAGCTAATCGTCAATGTAGCAATGATGTCGTCTAATTGTGGGTATGCTGGTCATGGAAATCATACTCAATACACGGTGTTTGTATATATATGCAATGGTTATGTTAGCAAATCGCCGCTCGATTTAGGGCCACCAAAATAAGAGATTTTTGTACGTCAAATGCGAGAAACTGTAACATTGCGTGACCATCTAATATTGAGTAGCATTAACTAAAAATTCTTCTTCTTAAAGAAAATACAGCCTGTAAGCCATAAAGTGAACGAAGTGGCGGCCATTGAACCGCCCAGCATTTTTAGCGAAAAATAGGCAGCCTTCATGGCAAGCCTATTTTCGCATGCATCCAGCGCGTTGAAAACTTTCGCACGCAGTCGGCGTGTTGAAAATTATATTTTTCACAACGGCAATTAGCGTTGATATTGCCATTTTCAACGCTGTCGGCGTCGTGAAAAGATACGAATCGGGGTTGGCACACGCACGTTTCCAAAACACACCACCGGTATCAACCGTATCCGATAGCTCTATCGAACCAGAGGAGAATAGCAAGCTTTGTTAACTTTATTTGATTACGTCAAACAAAATTAATGAGAGTAACAAGGAGACAATGCCTGTGTGTTGTTCTTCAGGCGGGCGCGTGCATGACCGACACGCACCGTAACAGTGCCGATAATGATATATATATGTTGTGTGCTGATGCTGTTGTGTGCGCTCCGGTGCGGCGCTACGCACGCTGTGTGTGTGTGTGTGTGTGTGTGTGTGTGTGTGTGTGTGTGTGTGTGTGTGTGTGTGTGTGTGTGTGTGTGTGTGTGTGTGTGCGTATCACTGCCTGTCAGTCAGTGCGTTTTGCTCATGTAACACTTCACAACCGGCTGCGTTTACATCAATTTGCCATGATGGTCCACAGCACGGAATACCCACATGCAAACGTCGCTCTAGATAACACTCGCAGCATATGCACGTCTTTCCACACTCGGATAGCGCGCGTTGCTCGCCTTTCCTCCATGTGTATTCCCGTCTTTCGATAATAAGTTCATCGATAATCGATAGTCGATACGATACACGCACGAGGTCATTTCGAGATTCGCAGTTGAACGTGCGGCTGTGTGTAATGTGAAGACGTGCCGTAGGCGGTGCTCTCATGTTTTCCCGCGTCCACATCCCCGTAGACATGTTGGGCCTGTTCATCGATTCCGTAGCAATATCGAGTTATACTAATGATTGCGTTTATCTTTCGAGAGTACTTTCGTAACTTTTAAACTACGGCAGTGTGTTGCCTTTCACAATTCGTCAGAGTTAACAGCGATTGACAATGAGACGGTAGTCGTTTAGAAAGTATCGGTAAAATCTGTGCCCGCGCATTTCATGTTCTCCACCGTGGTCTAAGCCGCATACCTTAAAGCCCTTAGGTCTTAAGCCTTTTAAACTAGTATCTAACGCTAGTGTTTAACGCTAGTGTCTAACGCACAGCGAATGCGCGGCTTCGAAGCAATGATTCTTCTCTAGGTAGTTTTGACATTTAGTCATTCATCTTCCTGATAGTTAATCATCTTTTTTTCTAATAACGTCGGGGACATTGAAACACAAATCTTTCTCGAACTTTTCTTCATGAAGTAATTCCTGGCCACCGTCATAGATTGAAATACGGGTACTTCAAGGGTCACGTGATAAATAAACGATCGAGATTGGTACAGCGTGTTGTATAGAATAGTTACAGAATCGGACCGTACAATACGCAGTCTGAAACGCATAAATGAGAACAAGTTAAACGACTTTGTGTTGGTCTATGGTAAGCCAACATTTCTATATACACGTCACTGCGTTCATTCATGATTTTTTATCGCTATATTAAACATTCACATTAAGTACACTAAAGTCCTAACAATAACCACTATAACTCGGTTACATTATTTACAACCTACTAAACATTCATAATGCGTTCACGTAATTACGTTCCATTGTAAATCAGAAAATATACAATTTGATGCCTCAACGGGTCAGCTTTTTCGCGAAATTTAAAATTATGTATCGTATATAGTATATATATATTTGAAATTTGATAGGCACAAAAACGACACATTTAAAACCATGTCGATCAATAAGACGATAAAAATACGCCACGTTGTGTACCACGCCACTATTCACTTATCTATATACACCAAGTGTAGATCAAGGATAGTTATGCATGAAATATTACTAACCAATATTTTTCTGCGATTTCTAACCCGGATGAAGGGGTTATATTATGCCTAACTGTTCAGGTAAAATCTGAACGAACAACAAAGCTAAATGCGTCATAAATGATAGCTGCTACCACAACAATGGCCAATCCCTTTACATTAAACTTTACTAGCTTCGTATAACCTTTTCAACAATAAACTGTGTAGTTAAACAATAAACTAATATATAAGATACAACAACAAAAACGAAAGCTGTCATCAAGACAGTCGCAGTCACGGCGAAGTATGTCGATGTTAGCGACATCTATTTTTTCGCCTACTCCGTACATAGTATAGGTCTCAAGGGAGAGATAGTGAATATAGAAATAAGTTGTGGATATAGAAATCAGTAAACCCTAACCCTAACCCTAACCCTAACCCTAACCCTAATCCTAACCCTAACCCTAACCCTAACCCTAATCCTAACCCTAACCCTAACCCTAACCCTATCCCTATCCCTAATTCTAAAATGAAACAAAATTAGCCAAAAATAATAAATAATAAAATAAATAAGAGACAAAATTAGCCAATCAGAGCCGTCCCCTAGCGGATCACTATCTCTCACCTGTGCAAAGTTACTTCGTACATTACAGCAAAAACACAACGGCCATCTTAGGCAATATTGTGGTAACCGAAGGTCGCCATCTATATATTGAATTCAAATATTCATCGAACCAGTGACCCAGCCAGTGGACCGACTTATGCGCATGTTACGTCATCGACCGAATTTATCTAACAACCTAAAACCGTTGTTACGTTACCAAAAAAACATACATTGGTGGCGGACGTGGGGCGTGCTCACCAAAAACATGGTTAGCAGACCGTAGGGTGTGTGTGCTGGGTCGTTAGCATACGTAGGACGTGCATGCTGGGTGGTTAACAGACGTAGGACGTACATGCTGGGTGGTTAGCAGACGTAGGGCGTGCGTGCTGTGTTACTAGCAGACGTAGGGCGTGCGTGCTGTGTTACTAGCAGACGTAGGGCGTGCGTGCTGTGTTACTAGCAGACGTATAGGGCGTGTTCGAGCACTGCTTGCTCAGGTTTCGCTTCATCTTCTTGTATCCGTTCAGCTCGATGTTCTCCGTGTCGTCGGAACGTCGGCTCGTGCGAAACGACATCAGCACGGTCGTCGGCGTGCGACGTCGGTTGCGCTGACAGCAGAACGTCTCTCGGAACGTCAGCTGGTACTGCTTGCTGAGGCTACAGTAGATGACAAAGTTCAACGCGCAGTTTCCCGTGCCGAGGCAGTTGACGATGCCGACGGCGCCGCTGAAGCTCTTCTGCGTGAGCAGATCCTGCATGGAGATGCCCATGAGAACGGTGACGACGGCCTCCGGTAGCTCCATGACGAAGAAGGTGAGGATGAGAGCGACGAGCAGGCCCGTGATCCGAAGTTCCTGCTTACGCTCGCTCTTCACTTCCTTCGATTCGGTGAGCAGCACGCGCATGCGCCGCGCGCGCCACACGTGCACGATCAGGAAGATGTTGAAGACGAAGATGAGGATGAAGGGGATGATGAAGAAGAAGACGGCCGACATGGACGGGTAGATCTTGTGCGCGTGCGTCTTCCAGTAGGAGGTGATCGCCGCCAGACTGTACATGTCATACATCGTGCATGTGCCGTACTGGAAGAAGCGCGGGATGTCGACGACGGTGACGAGCGTGAACACGAGAATCGTCAGAAACTGCGCCTTGCGTATCGTCATCCACACGTTGGCCGCCAGGGGGCGCACGACGGCGACGTAGCGCACGACGGCGATGGTGACCATCAGCCACGTGGTGGCGTGCTTGAAGATGTTCATCGGCGTCTGCAGCACGATGCGCACCCAGACGAGTATCGGATTGTACACCTTCTCCTGCGCCTCCTCGAAGAGCACCTGGTGCAGAACGTTCGGCACCAGACACAGCAGAAGTCCGATGTCGGCAATGGCGACGCCGGCGAGATAGCAGTGGATGCCGCTCGATATGCGCATGCGCGGCTTGTGCAGGATGATGAGATTGATGACGTTGCCGATGATGCCGACGAGAATGAGCGCCGGCAGTACGATCAGGTTGACGACGTGCTCGACGCGCGCGTTGAAGTCGGCAGTGTCCTCGTCGACGAGTCCGTTGATCTCCTGCAGCTGTGCGAGGTACTTGTCGCAGTCGACCCACATGAGGCTGCGCGACTCGACAGGTGTCGTGTAGTCGGAAAAGTTGCCCCACCCCTCCGTCGTGCTTTCCTCCATCGTAACCAGGTAGCGCGCGTAGAGAGGAAACCCACAGAGGGAAGGTTAGTGCCACGTGTCTCGTGTCTCGTGTTATGCGAACTCGTCTGCGGACGATAAGTCGAGCGGGAGGTCGGAGAGTTGGTCAGCAGTTCTGCAGATGCGTGGCTTTCTAGGCCGTATAACCGACATCCATGAGTCTCTCCCACACTAGTATATGTTGCTAGTATATGTTGCTACTATATGTTGCTAGTATATGTTGCTAGTATATGTTGCTAGTATATGTTGCTAGTATATGTTGTTACTATAAATTATGTTGCTAGTATATGTTGCTAGTATATGTTGCTACTATATGTTGCTAGTATATGTTGCCGTACATAACAAGCAGTTCAACACGATGTGACGTCGGTATAAGGAGCCGTTGCGGTTCGCTTTAGTCACGGGGACTAGAGACTTAGTTTGGGCTTCGATGCAAAGGACAGTTGCTCACGAAGGCCGAATTCCGTCACAATTAGCTGCGCTGTCGTCCGCTAACCGCTACGGACCAATGACTCCGTCTCTATATAACACGTCATTCGTGTTTGAATATGTTCGCACCAATGTGTTGATAGCAGGAACTGATGAGGCACTGGAGAAAGCCACACGGAAGGCGCGAACGAATTTGTGTGCGAGTTACTTGCTCTTCACGGTGGCACTTTTTTCACGTGTCTCTTTCGACGCACCCAAGCTTCTTTAGTCGTGTTTCAGCGTCTTCTATCTAGACGGGCACATTTCTTTTACATATAACACCGTATTTTTGCATACACACCGGTCACATATGCCGTCGGTCTATTGGTTATGTTGCGGGAGGGCGCACACCACACAACACACGCGAAACACACGGTCTGCAAAACAGACTAGCCACTGTCGAGGCGTTTTGCTCTGAAATGTAGCTTCGCCGACGGCTGCCCCCTCTATCGGCGATCTTTTCACACACGGAGAAGGAAAAGACGTGTTGACAAGATGTCCGATTCCTGTCTCGTGACGGAATGCGATGGCCGACGTCACGTGACCAATTACGTAATGGTGTACACGGGCAACACGAAGAGCAACTTTGACGCGGAAGAATATTTCGCTCCTTCGGCCGCTTATTCGCGCACGGAGTAGTATCTAAATAACGCACTGCAGTGGTCCTGTCTCTCGCGGTCTCACGGTCAACGCAGCACGGAGCGGCTTGGATTACGCGAAAAGCTGTGTTGCTGTGGCTTGCGTTCGTTTTGCTCGCTCGCGCCGGCCAGATGGCCCGCCTAAACTCACGCGCAGAACATGTTCGTCTAAGCTGCGCGACGACTTCAGACTCAACAACGTTTTCCACGCCGACGGCGAAAACAGCTGCAAAACGGATAGTGTTTACTATAACAAGGTTACTATAACAATCGGGTCGAAGAGAGAGAGAGAGAGATAGAGAGAGAAAGACAGAGAGAAAGAGAAGGAGAAGGACAGAAAAAATGAGAGAGAGAGAGAGAGAGAAAAAGTGAGTGTGTGATAGAGAGAGAGAGAGAGAGAGAGAGAGAGAGGAGAAGAGAGAGAGAGAGAGAGAGAGAGAGAGGGAAGAGGGGGTGATTCCCAAGTATTGTTCGAGTGCTGCACTGAAACTCACGCACGCGCAGCACACCGAACGGCTGTTAATGACGTAATTATCTCCAGTTATTGAAATCCAGGGATAGTATGACGTCAGGGCGTATGCAGTGTGACGTCAGATCGTCGTGACGTAGTCTGAACAGTCTATGAAATGAATGCCGCTTACTTTTTTTTCCTGCGTGACCCGCAGGGATTCGATTATAAACGATAACTTTCGCATGCGCGAGGAATTTGCTATCTGTGCGTTTTTCCCCTGGCGTGCAGAATACTCTCATCTCAGAACGTCTCGTCGTAAAGTAGCTGGGTTGAGCAACCTCGTGTCGCTGCGTCGCACGTCGCCGTCGTCGCTGGGTTGACACCTCGTGTCGCTGCGTCGCACGTCGCCGTCGTCGCTGGGTTGACACCTCGTGTCGCTGCGTCGCACGTTGCCGTCGTCGTTGCTATGGATTCCTGTGAGAGGTCACAGCGCGTGACCCTTGACTCCACTCTCCACTAGCTTCCAGGTCGACCGTCAGACAGAGGTCGATGAACGTCTGCAATGCAGAAAGAGAGTGAGAGAGAGGGTGTGACAGAATGAATAGCAGTGCTATTAACGAAGTTAAAGATTTGCTGACGGATGTCATGAATCAACGTGTTCGCATTGAGAGGTGAGTGCGTCCAACCACCGGAGACCGGTCCCAAGAGCACCGACTACAAGCGGCTTCTTATTAGCGAGAGCATCGGATTGCAGAGAACACTGACCGATAGAATGATCTACTGTAGAGGAATAAGTACGCACTTACAGGAAAAACAGAATTCGTCGTTATTATCAATGACCTAGTCTAAGTGATTTGTTCTCACGCGGTTGGTCCGCGGAAAGATATTACAGGCTTTGAACGTTTTATTGCGAGTCAGATAGAGACTAGCGGGATTTAGTGAAGAGTGACAGATAATCGATACGCGTATATTGGATAGATATCGATCGTTCCTACGTAATGATGACGATTTCCGGCGCGATTTTTTTTATCGCGCGCAGCAAAATTTCTCTCGGAATAATCGATCTCTTCGATTCGTCGCCCTCCTTTAAAAAAAATTCCGCGCCACAGATTTATGGGTATGGACGCTATAAGGTAATAAGCACGCTGACATACTCAGTCAATATAGGCAGCCGTGAGGTACGTAGAGCCTAGCGCAGACCTGCGATTTTTGGTTGCTCGTCGCTGCAACCTACAACCGCAAGCGATATAGGTCGATGTGTCGCCGCGTGTGCGCACACATGCGATTTCGAAGCAATTCTAGGGCAATTTGGGAGCGATTGGAAGCGACGAATCGCTCACAATCAATACAGTTTGATTTCTTGCAACTCGTCGCAAGCCACCAGAATCGCTACGGGTTGCAGTTGCACGTTCCCGCAGACGTAGCGATTTCACAGCAATTTTTACAGCGATTCTAGAATCGCTGTCGAGTTGCATGAAAAAGTCGCAGGTTTGCGCTAGGCTTAAGCGCGCATGCATGCAGACGGGGGCAAATGTCAGGGAGGCGTCGGCAGCATCCTCGCGTGATTGCTTCGATCTATTTACGGTGCTCGTGTAGTTTAATTTAGCGCGCACTTTCACGCGCGTTGCGAGAATTCACGTTAATTGACGAGGATCGGTCGGTCAATGATGAACTGAGACACAACGGCAAATCAGAGCGCGTAAAATAAACCAACGGCACTATGTGCTACCATCCTGCACTGCCCCGATCAATAGCGTTCGGCCTGCAGCGGTAATACATCGCCGCGTTAGCCGTTGTGAATAACATTTGGACGTTGTCCAGTCCTACACTCGTATATCGACGCGAGGTATAAGTCAATCGTATAGGTTAACGATGTCACCACTCATCTTCTCGGTTTGTCATGTACGTATACGTCGTCGGAGTCAACAACCTTGCAAATGCGCCTAAATGACTCGCTACCCGTATTGCACTCTCAAGCGTGGCCTGCATTAACCCAGCATTCGCTCGCCTACCCATGGCTCCCTGTTTAGCGGGGTCTGTATAAAACACGAAAATGTGTTTCATAATCGAAGTGCCGCTCACGGAAAGTCACTTCGACGAGCTTGTCGTATATGGCGAGATTTTGAAGCCTACCTACAAACGATTTTTATGAACGATGGCATGCACGGCAATCTGTAAGTGTGTTTACCGTAACACTATATATAGGGTCACAATAGGATAAAGAATCGTCGGCATCAATGATTGCGATTTGAATCCACGCGGCTAACGGCGGTCTGACCACATTATATTAAAACTCGACTGCGCGGTTTCAGCTTCACAGCAGCTCCCCTTGCCTGCGCTTATTTACGCGACACTTGACAAAGCGATATTTCTCGTAACAAAGCGCCGAGAGCCACGTCTTGAAGCGACGCCTGTCTAGACGCACGCCCATTTCATTCGCAATGAATTTCGTGCTTTGTAAAGTCAATTTAATGAATAAAAAGGGCGTGCGTTACAGGAATGATAAATCCGTTATTTCCAGCGATAATTTTGCAATAAGATCGGAGCTGTCAAGAGATCAAAGAAAGTAATTACATGAATAACGATCATTACATTTCGCGAAAGATTGAACTTTTTTCTTTCGTTTTCGATGACAACGTAGAACTTACAGTTAAAATCAAAATACTGCAATTCTGGTGGGTCGGTGTTTCTCTGTATCATGTCATCGATGCAGCAAAGTTCTTCGTTGTTGCCGAAAGCGCCGCTCTCCTTTGCCATTGCTTTGAAATGGAATGCAATGCTTGAATAAAACAATAACGCTCGTGCGTCTGTGTGCGCGGGTGGGGGCGTGCGTGTGTGCGTGCGTGTGCGCGGGTGGTGGCGTGCGTGTGGGCGGTGCGGCGGCGGTGCG